GGGGATGCTCGAAAATCGACACCGAATGAGAAGAGGAGCATGGTCTGACACAATTCGAGGTAGGTGTTTGACGACCGCAACCGCAAAAAACCTGGCTCATGCCTTGGAGACCAATGCATGATCGAGCCTCTCCTTGACACCACCACGCTCCCAGGTGAAGGGAGAACCTTCGAAACCAACGTCAATTAACTCACACTCCACCACCGCCAGAGAGAAATCCCCGACTCTGAAGAGCGGTCTGATCATTTACCAATGCACTCATCGGGATGCATAAGGTGTTGAAATCACTGCTTACCATCCACGGTAATCCCTCCACGCTTTCAGCAATCTCACGCATGGTGTCCCAAAGACTGTAGCACCCAACCCTTACACAACTGATATAAACCAAGGTGTGAAAGATGAGCTCTAGGAGATGAGCGACATAAAGCTCAACATGGAGCACCTGGTCAGTGTCACAGATGACCAGACAAGTGTAATCACATGAATGAAAGAACCAAATCTTGTTAGAGAAGTTACCAACGCCTGAATAGAAACCAAAGCAGCGTGAGTAAGAGTCAAAAGAGGGGTTTTGGGTCATGGGCTCAATAAAAACAGCGAAATCGAGCCTGTGGTCATGGACTAGAGCGTTGATATGAACAATGGTAACCCTATTTGCCAGGCCAGGGATATTCCAAGTTAGTGATGTTACCAACAAATTAAACGACGGTGGTGCCACTCGACTTGGTCTGCCTGTGGTGAGGCTGCATCGATCTATCGGGGTAAGGTAAGGGCTGAATAGCCGAGTGCTGCATATTCTTGGATCTGATGTGATGTCGGTTATGGTCGGGATCTCAGGGAAAGGTCCCTTAGGCTGCTCTCCTTGCTCCTGAGTTCAAAAACATGTTGAGCTCAACTAGGAGCGCAGGTCATCCTAGGGGAGGAAGAATTAGGGGATCCGGGTAGTGGGACATGGGTGTCCACTGTAGTGGACAGAGAAACGTCACTGATAGTACGCACTACTAAGTGCTCACTCTCATAGGAAGACTCAGGCTCGGCCTGGGAATCATCATGAAGAGTGGGCCGCGAGCCCAGGGTCTCTCCTCAGAAT